TAGAATTTATTCTGGGGAAGTTGATATATACGCATGGCCAATGTTTAATGAAATGGCTTGGTACACTACTTTAGAAAAAGTAAAAAATAAACTTGATAAAAGAGAATCTACATATGACAATGCAAATTATTTTGTTGACTATATTAAGACAATGCTAGCAAAATTAATGGTATCCTGTGTTAATTGTTTTATATAAAGTTTTATTTTGAGCTACTAAAGTAAATCTCAAAATATTCTATTTAAGGTTGGCGATTGGAATCCGTTAGATGAAGCTATTGTTTATAGGCGTGTTTCTACTCTTAAAAGATTACTTAATACTGCCATAAATATGGGTATTGAGCAATTGGAACCATTTATTCATGAGCTTAAGGTAAAATAATTATTAGTTTTTGCAGTTTCGCGTCTAATAACTACTTGCAGATTTAAAATAATATATTCGCATATTAATTGTAAATTTAATTAGGATCGTTCAACTGGATCCAAAATACCTGATGATATTTTCAAAGTGCATGAAGATAATAACGAGTCATTACAAAATAATTCAAAGTTTGTATTATCTGAGGATCTTAAAAATAAAATAAACAGTTCGCCACTTCCCAAAGATTCACAGCTTTTGCTATATAAAAATGAAGATTCTGACTTGGTTGATATATCAGGAGATTTAATTAAATTTTTTAAAGAGCACATTATGAAACGTGAGAATACAGCAAAAGATGAAACTTGGTTTAATAATCTTTGTATCTTTTTAGATTGTATAGTCAAAAGGCGTGTTAATAGAGTTAAATTATGGTATAAACAAAATACCAAAAACTTTTCGCAAGATAACTCCCATATCATTCAGGGAAACAATTTATTGTTGCAAGAGATTAGCAAGTTTGTGGTTTTTTGGAACTTGTGTGGTATCAAATGTTCCATATGTAAGCTACATTGTCTAAAACAAAGAGATCACAAGCAAAAAGATCACAATAGTGATCATGACTGTCTTACGGATCACAAGTGTCATTTTATTTGCCAATTTGATGACTTACATTCCGATCAGAATCCAAAAGGAGTATGTAAACATGAAGGTGGACATGATGGAAAACATATTTGTGACAAAATTGTAAGCTATTTTTACAAATTTTAATATAAATATAACAAACATATTTAAATATCATACTTTTTTTAGCGACATGAATGTGGAAAACCTTGTTATTTATCCGATAAAAAAAATTGCAACAAATATTGTACGAATGAAGTAGATCACTCAGAGGAAACGAAACATATGTGCAATTCAGTTCACCTATGTGGTGAAGAATGCTCGTTAAAAATAAATACCGAACGTACGCAATATAAATGCCCAAATTATTGTGTTCTGCCATATGATAAAGAACATAAGGAGAACGAACACTGCTGTGAAAGCGAATCATGTCCTATGCCTTGCCCAATGCCAAAATGCATGAACAAATGTAACAGCAACAATCATCATCATGCATTGGAAGGAGCCGGTATTAAACATCTATGCGGGTAAGTTTTATATTTAACTCAAATTTCATAAATTTTGAAAGAAATGTTATTTATATCAAATATATATATATATATATATATATATATTTTTTTTAGCAATGATCATCCATGCTTAGAAAAATGGTATGACTTATTTTCACTTTAATTACAAATATTTAATTCTATTATACTATTAATTAAATTTTACAAATAGTGAAAGTCCGGGAATATGTCATACACAAATTATAGAAAAGAATGCAGTTTATAAGGGCAAGCGTTCAGATAGTTCAGATATTAATTTCACAAAGGTAGTATCAACACAACTATGAATATATTCAATTATTAATTGAATTTATTTTGCCACCAATTGGCTTTAATTTTTTAGTACGTCCAAACCAAAAAAAGACTACAGTGCTACAAAAAGATTCCAGCAGATAAAACTTTTCACGATGGATCACATATCCATGAAGAAAATGCAATGCATACCTGTGAAGTAAAATGTCCTTTATGCAATTATTATGTTAGTATTCTGGTTTAATGTGAATATTATTTTCAGTATTCTATATTAATCGAGTTTGCTTATAATTATTAGTGCACAAGACATTATGGTCATACTGGTCTTCATTATACTACTCATGGAAATATGAATTCAACTATTTTTATTGCTGATACAGATAATTTTGAATATAAGGGGTAAATATATTTAATGATACTAATCAACAACCATATAGTGTTAAAAGTTTTGCGGGTGAAATCAACTTAAAAGATTAGAAGATAACAATTTTTTTGAAGCACAAAGCACTTAGTGCACTAAATATCATTTGCCTTGGCACTTTTATGCTGTAGCAATTATGGTGCTTTAACACCCATGATATATCTTAGTAAACTTGATGCTAACAATTGTTTGAATCAACTTAAATTAATAACAGTTATAAATTAATGACTGGCGATAGTGGCGTTTTTGAATTTTGCAATATGGTATGTACAATCTTATCCGGTGTCTAAACAGGTTAAATTGATAGCTTTCATTATACAAGTTCAGTTTCTGAACATATTTATTCAGACTGTCAGCCATTTTCTTAATAAAAATAGGTATCCTTTATTTATTAAGATAATAATGGTTGACAATATAATGGTAATAGTAAATTTTAGTTTAAATTTGATATTATGATTCTGTTTATTTTAGCATTGCAAAAATTCTCGTAGACATCGGCACATAGATTACTGCAAATATAAAGACAAGCCTAATATACAACTTAAAGGACATACTAGTTTAAGGTCTAGGGAATTTAGAAATCATTTTGAAGATAAAGAAGACGGTGTTAGACATATTAATGGTATTTAATAAAATGTCTAATTATAAATCAATTATAAATCAAACCCTTATTATATTTAATTTAGGTTTCGTTTATTCTCTTACTGTGCACATTATAATAACATATAATAGATGTTAAATTTACGCCAAATCCCGAGATACCTAAAGACTTTTTATCACACAAACAATTTTGGGCTCAAACTGGATTTGAAGGCAAGCGATTTATATGTTACATAAAGATAATTATATTAATATTAATTTAATTTTGATATTTTTCAGACCCATATACTGCCTTGGAGCAAGAAGATTTTGAAAAATGTGACCATGAGTGCACTGATGAAATTCATCAAAAATCAATAGATGGTTTATCACCAGAAAAATCTTATTGTGATTTGCAACTATTTCATGATCCAATTAATGCTTTGCCTTCAAGAAAAAAAGGATATTTATCTAATGATGGACATGTATTTCTATGC